ATGCTTTAAGTCATAATTTCGCACATAAGTGTTGAAGTTGTAAAAAATGTATGGAAAATAAATTTAAAACTAAAAACAAAATCTCTTGAACCGAAGTTTTAACATTTTCATTGTAATAACGAAATCACACTTCAACAATAATAGTACAATATTCTTCATCTAAGGTCAGAAAAATAAAAATTAATTTGTCGTAAAAACATTCGAGAAGTACCTTACAATCATTGGTCCTATTATAATTCGCTAATAGAAAAATTATTTAAAATAAAACTAAAATATTTATTTTACCAATACATTTTTCAATGTTTTAAAACACTGAATTTATTTGTTGGACCGTTAAAAGTCGAGGGGATTTTTTGCTTTTATTTATCACAATGTGAAATTATTATAATAATCAAGTTGGGCTTAAGGCAGTATAAAATACGTCAATTTACAATCAAAAGCCTAAAAAATCACGTTTTGATTTACTTAAAATCATCGATGAAACTTAGTGATGGGTCGAACTGTATGTCGAACTGAACTCAAAATGAAAAAAAATCGAACAGAACTATTTACCATTCAGGTATTTTCGAAATTTGAACTTGAAAATATTGTTTATCAAATAATCTACAGTTAATTTTCTATAGTTTATAGTTTATAATAGGTATCATAGTAGCATTTACTATTTTCTTTATATTATTACGATTAGATATGATAAAATAAAATAATGTTGAAGCATGTGATCATTTTTGTAAAAATCTATAGGTAATATTATCACAGATTTTTTTTCCATTTGATGTGTGATAAAGTTCAAAACTGCAAATCTATTTTTGAAAAAGTGAAAAGAAAAAAATATAAATGTTGTTTGTACTCCATATTTTTAAAAATATTATCAAAAATAATATTATTGGATGTTAAATAATTATTATAATTTATTACCCATATATTTTTAGGTGTATTAGGCCGTGTTCTCATCAAAAGCAACTGTCGATGGTAACACAACTTCGACGCGACGCGACATGTATTATTAAATCGACATGTTTTCACCAGCAACAATACAACTGTAAAGCAACTCAACTGTTTAAAATTTATTTCTAAGCAACTCGACATGTCAGTCTCTTTCCACCAGTTTCTCGTGGTTATTATGTTATAGTTTATTTTAATAAGGTACAATATTATATTTTTAATTATTTATTTAAAGTGGCAAACGAACAAAAAAAAAAAAATGTGACTTTTATACAACTCATAGAAAGTCATATATGTCTTTATGAAATAAAATTATTTAATTATACCCGACAAGATATAAAAGAAAGTGGAATGGAATTTCAATTAAAACAAATAATTCTAGTAAGTTAATGATGTCCTTTTTATTATGAATAAATAGCTAATTTATGTATTACATACGAGTATTCGATTTATTCGACATACTTATAATATTAAATACATCATAGTAAACTTAAATAAATAAAATTAAAACAATAATAATTAATATGCAATTGATAGGTATAAATTAAAGGTAAATTAAATTTATTTTTAGTTTTTTTTATGAGAACATAAGGGTAACTCAACTGAAATTACAATCACGGTGCTATTGTATTGCCGTTGACAGTTTCTTTTGGTGAGAACACGGCCTTAAATTTTGTACTATGTAAATAAATTTTTTAAAACTTCAATCTATTATTGAAGAGGAAAAAATGTTGAGTTCGAATTTTAGTTCGATAAAAATTGTATTAGTTCGGTTCGGTTCGGATTCGTAATACTTTGACAATGTTCAGTTTGAATTCTGTTCGACACCGTACAATCAGGTTCGACCCATTACTAGTGAAACTACGACCTAGTCAAAAGTCCATTATGTAATATTCGTCGATTTTATAAATATTCATATAAACATTTGTTATTTGCCGTTTGCAGTATACAATGGTAAGAATATTTATTCAGTGTTACCATTATGCCCTTCGTTACGAGTGAACTTACTGAAACCTTGCTATTGACACCAACTTGTGATTTCGGGTTGAAGCCGTAGTCTGCTCGTACATCATTGAATATCATTTAGTCATTTAGGAGATGAAATGGGGAATGACATTCGGTGGCGATTGCACGATCTCTTAAGCCTTGATTTCCTATAATCACGTGTTCGTGAATACGTTTTGCTCGACGCGCAATGGAAATGTTTTGCTACACCGTGTATGCTTTTTCATGATTATGACTGCAGCGATCTGAAAATTGTCATCAGTTTACGTCCATCAGTAATAAAAAATTAATTTACTTGTTTTAGTGTAATCGGGAATTTTGGAATTTTGAAATGTTTAAAATGGATGCGATTGAAGTGGACATTTAAATAGAAGTATTGAAGCCGCCGACAAACTTTTAATACCTATTTGTCCGTTTATTTAGAGAAGTTAATTATTTGTTTAGAGTATTGTTATTTAGAGAATTATTTCTTATTTTTCCATACATTTTCTTCGATATTACTAACTTAGTGATTTTTATAGTTCGATTTATGTAGAACATATGGATCTCAAACTATTTCAATAAGTTATTCGTCATTTGAATTCAGGAAAAACAATCTGGATATCGTTGCAAGAAAATGATCAGTGTTGCGGGAAAATAACTAAACATTTATCTAGATAAATATAAAATATGATTACATACAATTTATTTAAATAAAAATAAAAAATAAAACATTATCTAGATAAAAAAAAGTTTTTTTATTTTTTATTTTATTAATTCATTTATATTTTTTTTTTTATAAATTTGAACTTATTCTCTTTCTTAGGTATCAAATATTGTAAGAGTCACTAAAAAGTATAAATTGAATAGTCTTTATCTTATATTGAAACTATTCCTAAAAATAATACTCATAGACACAATTTAAATAATATAACTATAGAATCTGTAATCTTTTACAAGCGATTCTTCTCACGCCTAAACAATCACGAAAATCCACTGATTCAAAGCCTAAATTCCTTAACGCTCCCGGAAAATCCTCGTAGGAGACTAAAAAGAAGATGGTGCAGAGACCTCTTAAATTAAAAAAAAAAAAAAAAAAAAATGTGCACCTTATCTACCGCTTAATAAATTTCCTGCCTTCTTACTCCCACCCTCCAATCTATTCAAGTTTATAGGGTTACCATAGGGTGATTTCTATATCAAGTCTATTCATGTATAACTTCTCTTTTCAAATATACTTATTGTGCATATTTGTATAGATTGTATATTATCTTTTAAAAAATAAAAAAAAATAAAAAAAAAATATAACTAAACATATATTGCAGTTACACAACTTTTAAGATAACCGTAATTAATTATAAAGTTAATAAATTAATAATATTAATGAAGTTTTCATTAGTTTTATTATTAGTTTTTAACTTTCAAGTTCAATTTTTCAAATTTTTCGAATAAATATAGTAGTATTTATTTATTTATTTAGATGAATTATGATGGATAACTCAAAAATTTACCTAAAATAATTCATCAGATAACTAACTTTGTTTATTATCCAGATAAAATAAAAGATAATTAATTATTTTGATAATGTATCTAGATAATGCTAAATAACACCGAAAATAATAAGATTATGCGAAGAAGAAGAAACCGAATTTTAAGCTTTTCTTAAAATCTATCATTTAACCTGTGGGTCACGCCAACATTTCTCTCTCGGTAACTTCGACAGGTGTGAAAAAATGAAAAGAAAAAATACTATTATTGACGAACATAACGCCGTTGTTTTTCGGCAATCTAACATTTACGTGATTGCGTTCACGGATACCGTAGGAAACCGATGATTTTAGGTGCGCGATCCCGTGACGCATTTGCCGTACCGCAATCGCACCTTCACGGGTTCAGTGTGATGAAACTATTTTAGCAATAGTACGTGACGGCCGACATGAAAATGGGTTTGATTTTTTTCCAAACCATGAACAGTAAAAGTGCAGTCACCGCAGATGAACTAAAAAAAAAAAGTGGATGTCGTTCAATAATATGAATCATGTAACACTTGTGATTGTTCAGAAATTTTATATCCTGCGAAAGGTGGCTAAATTCCGAAAGACACGTTACAAAAAATTAAAACCGGTTAATGGCCTTTAAAAATTTAGATATGTATAAGTTGAATTTATTTTGAAGCAGTAAGACGTGTTATTGATTTACCATTTTCAATTAAATTGAAAAAAAAAATTATCGGGTGGGTGGCCTGGGTCAAATGCAATCCCCCGGTCTGAATTGAATACCTCCGTTCCTACTCTGTAATAAAATATAAATAACTAATCGAAACGCGATATTTGTTGTATATCTTGTTTTTTTGTTCATTAAACCGAAATTATTCCAGAATCTTTCTTTTCGAACAAAAGCTTAAATTTTACAACAGGTGTGAATTTTATGAGAATCTTAAAATCTTTTTTTTAATATTTTCTAGCTTTTGCCTATAATAAAATACTGTTCAATTTAATTCGATATGATTTGATTTCATAATTGTATACAGTTAGTTACGGCGTTATAAAAGAGGTTGTATACATAAGCTGATTGTATATATTTTATTATATATTCAATAAAATATCATAATCAAACCATAATCTAATAGAAAAATCGTTTTATGAACGTTAATAAATTATCATCAGTTTGCCGTGGTTTCTTATGCAAGTACATTTTCCTTGTGTTTTTGGAATCGGTAAAATATGAAAACTGTCTCACTAAAGTCTTTATCTTATTATATTATACCTTATACGTTCAATTTTAATCAAACTGAACATTGAGTGAAACAACTTTTAGTGTATTTTCACAAAACACTCTAAGTGTGTTGTTTGCGAAGAATATATAAAAAAATAAATGTTTACATTTCTCTTTTCTTTCGGAATCTAAATTAGTTTTTCAAGGACGGATTTGTCAAAAATGTCGAACCCAATAATCAGTAATACATTAAATCTTTACAGCACTGTGACTACGCAAGTGAATATTGCCATAATGAGATTACAAGTATTTAGTCTTCAAACACAACATAATATGTTACACAATACTATCAAGGCACTTTGTAGTGTGCGTTCGGAACAAGAAATGTTTTAAAACATCTTTCATAGTATACAGATCGTGCAAGTGGTAACTGAATAAAAAATATATATATAAAATATTACAATTGTGTTATTTGTTTATTATTGTCCGACGAGAATAAAACCTAAAAGTAAAATCAATATTAAACAACACCAAAGAAATATTTAAAATATCTGTGCAGACGAGCGGTACCTCTCTTGACTAAAGGTAAATCTTGAATCTCAATCGGCTGGATCGAAAAATGTATTTCTAAAAAGTTTTAAAAAAAAGTTTATTTATAAAATATATTGTGTTCGACCTAATCAATAGCTTATTATAATTATTTACAACTGCAAACAATAATATTGCTAATCGAACGTTTTCACTCGTAATTCGTCTGCATTGATAATATAATTTTTAGAAATAATATCGCGAAAATATATTTTCCAACGATAGTCGAAAGCAGAAAATCTTAAAAAAATTAAATATTTTTCACCTAGATACATCACCTTCGTCTGATGTACGAGCAATAATAGTTTAGATATGCGTTTAAATATTCATCAATCTTAAACTATCGAGAATAATATTTCAAGCTAATGTGCGTCGTATTTTATATAAGTAAAACTAAATATTTTCAAAAACAAAACACGTTATTTGTGATTCATTATAGAAATGTTGTTTACGTGGTCCGTATTATTTTGTATTTACAATATTCATAGCTGATGTTTCAATACTTCTGAAGAAATATTTAAAAATAATAAAAATTTGGAAAAATAATCCATAAAATGCCATTGAAAAAACTTTACTTTAATATATATAGTATATGTCTTAGATGTTCAAAAATTTCTCAACAATTTATAGATGATCAACCGGAAGGTAAGAAAAAAACACGTTAATTAAAAAACTGATATTACTAACCGTGTAAAAGACAAAAAACCGTAATATTTTTTTTTGGAAAACGTTTCATTAGCATTTTTTGTATACATTTTTATGACACATACGTCTAATAATTTTAAAATGTATTAAACTTTACGGATCACAAGTTATTGATGAAGTAGAACCTAGAATTAAATAACCCATATGTTAGTTTAATATATTTTTAAGTTAATCAAGTTTTCAAATTATCATATTTAAAAATCACATTTTGAGTTGTTAGGTACAATTGGCTTGAAAATAAAATACTCGAATCACAAAAAAATGTAAACTATGTTATCCAATTTAAAATATGATTGTTTCAATAATATTATCTAGTTGTAATTGCATTATTTCAATGTTTCACTACAAGTTATGGCGCGAAAAGAAAAATCTGTAAATATCAAATTAAAATATTTTTACTGTCTTATAACAAAACTGTATATACATACTAATTTTAATTTGCTTATAATATAGACAATATTTAGAAAGCAAGTACAATTAAAAATAGTTTTAAATGACTTGGGGATTGAAATATATACCTATGTCAGATTTAGCAATTTTTTAGATTAAAAAATAAATTTAAAAATAATAATTAATTAAAAAATCTTTTATCAATATAATCAACTTATTTCTTTACCTATTTTCACTACAAATGTTTTAAACAATAAAAAAAAATTCAAGAAGTTTTGGTAACATAATTATAACAATGTAATAGTGAATCTAAAACCGTAAACTTAACGTTTATATATTAATCCAAAATAATATACTGAATAGTTTATAAAGTGAATAATTATATAATATTAAGCATCTCCTATTTTATACATTTTTATAACAAGGTCATCTCAATTTTTTCTATTATCTAGAATTAATATTCTTTACTGAAGTGTTGTATTAAATTCTCATTTAAGAATTAATTTAAAAATGACTATTGCGTCAAAAGAAGTAAATAAAAAATTTTAATTGTGGAAAAATATTAGTCTAATAGATTTACAAAATATTATGTAGTACAATATTGTTTCTATGACTAGCTTTCCAAATGAATTCCACATTGTTTACAAATGCAACATGTATGGAATGTGTAGGTATATTAATTATATTTAATTGTACAAAGAGCCAGTGCACGAAACGCCTTAAACGTCCTTCGCATGTCTCATATGTTTATCAATATTCTTACAAATGAAATTTACCTTCTCAACAAATAGTATGATTTTTACTATAACCAATATTGCCAAAATTACTCTTCTCTTATTTAACATGAATTTTATGATATTATAACTCAGTAGTTTTCAACCTGGTGGTCGCGAAAGATAGTTCGTGGGTCCTCAAAAATAAAGAACAGATTATTATTTATATCAAAATGTATACATTTAATCTAATTATTACAAATGTACAGTAACATATCGAATAATATAGTATGTAGTGTAATCTTATCTGATGACAGATTATTAACTATTATTGACTATAAGCTATTGTGGTTACCGATATTAATTTGATTGGCATTTAATATCTGGTTACTTTTAGAGTCATACCGAATACGTGTATCAATAATTTTATTCACAAATATAATATTAAACAATAAATTTAGTTAAAAAAACAGATTTAAGAGTAGCAGTTTCTAATATAAAACCTAATAAAAAAAAAAAAAAAAAAATATATTGTATTATTAATTATTCGTAAGGTTCGCATTAAAATAAAAGTAAAAATTAGTGTTCACGAATCGAAAACGGCTGAAACGGTTATTGCAAAAAAGCTATTATAGCTCAATAGTTAATAATAATAAAAAAAAGCAAATTCTAATACGATGTACCTATTACACATTTGTCTATAAACAAACTAAATAAAAAGTAAAAATATAAATTTTTAACTATTTAGCAAAACATGTTTCCACTTAAATGTATCACCATTAAATACTTTCTAAAAATGCTGAAATATTTTTTAAGTTTCGATGTAATTCTTTAATACTTTAATTTTTATAAATACATACTAGGTTTTATATACAATTATTTTCACAATTATGGTTTGTATTATTTGTTATATACAATATATTTGTATGATTCTGAGTAACGAAATAATACTACTTTTCATACATTTTTCTTTTCAATATTCATCACAATAGATCATAAGTAGGGTAGAGGACTTCCAGCTTTAAAAAAACACTAAATACGCGAGCACTTATGCATTTAAAACCTCTATAACATGCATTAAAAGTATGCTATTATATTATTTTTAAAGCGATTTATTTATAAAATATATAAATAATTTAAATATTGAGTAGTTAAAATTAATCAAATTAATCAAATCGCTGATCCTGGAAACGCATTATTAGAAAAAACGTACGTGTGTGAATAGTCAACAACTTATTTAATCAAAATTTAAAATTATTTTCAATTCGACATTATTTTAATCGTATATTAGATGAAATAAGAACGTCGGCAGAAAAGTATTAATAAAATGATAAATTATTTGAAATATACATCCAAAAGTATAAAATGAAAGTTTCGTATTCAACTATTTTTGTGATGGTGCAAAACAAATATAAAAATGCTAAAAATCTTCTGCCCTAGTCATAATTTAATAAGTTAAAATCTTTTTTCATTTTTTTTTTTTTTAATAACAATCTTATATATTTATAAATTTATGATTTAATAATAATTGATTTTCGAGTATTAAATCTTTAGTCAGCTTTTAAGTGCTCTTATTAAAGTTTATGTTATAAGATGAGTATTGACATAGATAAGCACATCAAAATTATTCGTAATAACTACTATTTCCCCGCTTCAATTATGTAAACTTTTAACACTTATGCATAACTAACCTAGTTTAATGTTTAAATATTTGATTTTTTTACGTTGACCTTTTTAAAAAAAATGTATATAGCCATTTAAAGATTTTAAACCTTAAAAACTATTTCGATAAAAAACAGCATAAATATAGTGTACAAGCGGTTGAATATATTTATATATTTTTCAAATACATAAACAAATCGATAGGAAAAAATATTTTTAATAAATTAAAAAGATCTCATAGATATTGACTTTTTGAAAGGCAATTTCTTTATATTCAATCTAAAGGCTAATTTAACCTTTTTTTTTTTTTTTCATCGAGCCAATTCTCGAAAAATTTTTACATTATGTACAAATACTATATATATTATAGTGTATAACAAATAAAGTTAATATGATTTCTAGTAAAAATCATAAGGTAATCACTAGCTTATATATATGTATTTGAAGTATTTTATTTGCTTGGTCTGTCAAAACACATAATATGTTTTGTACGAAACGAAGGAGCATTACCGTCAGCGCCGAAGGTGAAGCTTTTGCTGTTTAGTCTTCGCGTTACCAACATTAATTATTTAATAATTAAACACAATTATTTATTTATAAACTTAGAACAATAAATTCTCTTTTTCCATATTTTTTTTCTACATGTTTATGCATTTCAATGGTAGCTTTTAATTTACATTAATTAAACGGGGCATTACTATCCAGTTCCGTATAAGTAGTTCTGCAGTGCTTTCATTATCAATATCTCTCTTAGACGTTAACTTCATAAAAACTTTTTCGGCCCACTTACGGACCAATATCTTTTTTTTTTAATGGAACAATCTTGATGGAACTTTACAGTTTACGTTTTTTCATTAATTTTTTACCAATACTTCCATGATTGATGAACTAAAATTTTAAGAATTTCAAAATTAATATTTATAACTTTTAAATCGAAAAAGATCTGCATTTACGTGATACATTTCAGTTATAAAAAGATTATATGTTATATTCAATAATTACAGTGCACAAGTCAATCATTTTCGTTTCTTATTTCCACTTTACATTTAGAAATTGAATGATTAATGATCAACGATCATAGTATAATTACGTATAACGCTAAGACCTAAGGAAGACTCCAAATTATGTTCGATTGCTTTATTGATGAAATATAGGAAAACAGAACAGATATTTTATTATTTTTGTAAAAGTTTTAACCTATTATATGAAAAATATTTTTAAAAACTTGACCCATATCTTTTTTAAAATTTAGCCTGTTAAAGAAATAACGACAATTTAAGATTTCTTAAACGAAATACCTGTAATTTATTCCATGTTAGTCGATATTTTTAAAAAATGTATATCATATTCTCGAGTATATTCTTCTTTCAAATGTCATGATCTATGTTGGTTTAAACTTAAATCTTACAATAACGACACAATTTTGTTCTATGTACATATAGCGACGATCAAACATAATTTTACGTCATCTAAAGTACACACATTTAAGTAAAATTTAAACTTTTTTTTTTTTTTTAGATATCTGTTTTGATGTTAACAATAATGTCAAATGTGACTGATACTCAAAGCTATTTAAATGGTATTGTTAACGAATTTAAATTATATATATTGAACGCTATAGAAGAAGAAATAAAATACGGTAATTAATTAATTTATTTTAATACAGTAAAATCCGCTTATTAAGAACACTTTTGAACCAAGGTAAAATGTGTGTCCATTAACCGATTTTTCTAATAAGTGATTGGTTTTATTTATTATGAAAAATATGTATATTTTTATTAAAATATGCGTTTATCATTGTCTGTTGTTTTGCATTGAGTAATTTGATGATCATGGTTTCGTAAAAATAATGTTGCTCAAAGCCTTTTCATGCGTAAGGTGCAAGACTGCTTTCCAGAGGACATTTAGAACTTCTACAATTTCTTTACTTCATGGGTATACCTCGTTTGTTTCTTCTTCATAGTCAGTGATAGCATGTCAAATTGTTCAAGGATTCATAAACGCATTACAGATCTTTTCTTTTGTTTGAATCTCTACAACATCAAGGTGTGAACCCACATCGATCCAATTATCGTATACTTCTTACAAGAGTTCGACTGGTTTCGATCGTAAAGACACAAGATAAAATACATTTTAATTACAATACATTGGTTAACGCCAAATGGTACCGGTATTTTTTGGCTGCATCAGAATTTAGGTATGGGACCTAAATATCGGCATCCGAATTGGTTTCCGAGATTTTATGCATTCTATTTTTGTAAAATACCTTCGATAGTGGATTATGCCTATAGATTCTCCCGATAATACAGTTTATCTAATAATTTCTACAATCATAAATATATTTATATAAATAAAATAAGAAACACATTATAAGTAGATAATGACGATTTGAGTGGTATGGTTAAATATCTAGTTGTTACTTGTTAGTCGTTTCCTGTACGTTATATATATATATATATATATATATATGTGTGTGTGTGTTATATACTTTTTTTTTTAATATGAAATTCATGTACAGTGAAAAAAATAAGAAACTTGTGGTGTTGGATGGTTTTAAATTTGGATATCCAAAACAGTTAGCAGGTGACATTGAACGTTGGATATGTGTAAAAAGAAAATGTAAGTCATATTTAAAAATAAATCATTTAAATTCAACTGTCGATAAGAGTATAATACATAACCACAAAAAAGTCAGTGATAAAATACTTAATAGACAAATTTTAAGTAATAGTTCAAAAAAAAAAAGTTCAAGATGTATTATATGAACAGCCAGCAAAAATTATTCGTTGTGAAATAGCTAAAACTGATATTGAAACTATAGATTCAAATGATTTATGTAGAATTAGTAAAAATATTTATGCTAGTTAATGTAGTATTGTACCAACATTGCCAAAAACATTGAGTCAAATTCATGAAATATTAAATAATTATGATGTAAAAACTAATCGGGATGAAAACTTTTTAATTATTAATGATACAGAAACTAATATAATTGGATTTTCTTGTAATAGTAATTTGGAAGAATTACGTCAAATGAAAATTGTGTTTATTGATGGCACTTTTAAATGTTACCCTAAGTTTTTTTTATCAACTTTTTTCAATTCATGCGGTAAAAAATAACTATTATGCTCCTCTAGTTTTTTCCTGCTTCCAAATAAAACTAGTAATAGATATACAAATGCTTTTCATTTTATTCAAAATTATCTAAGCCCAGATAAAATATGTGTCGACTTTGAAAGAGCAATTCATGTAGCTACCTCTAAAGTATAGCTTTTAGCTCAGTTAAAAGGTTGTCGATTTCATTTGGACCAAGCTTAGTTTAGAAAAATACTAACACTAGGACTTTTCAAAGAATTTAAAACTAAGGATTCTGAAATAGGACGATGTTTAAAAATGTTTTTTGGTTTGGATAAAAACGACCCGTTATCACCCGAAGAAATTAATGATTGCTATACTGATGATTTAATGACAATAAAACCTATTAATGAAATAATGGACGAATTCTTTGATTATATATTACAAAATTATATTTAAGAAGATTGCACATTTCCGTCAACAATGTGGACCGAATTTAGGAGTAGTTTAGAACGAACGACTAATTATTGTGAATCATTCCACAGCAAGTTTAACAGAAATTTTTATTCCGCAAAACCAAACATCTTTCAGTTTATTGACGTTTTGAAAGAAATTCAAATTGAAGTTTATGTAAAACTTCGAAGTACCGAAAAAGTTCGGGACATGAAATCAATTCAAAAACAAGCATACATCAAAACTGAGATGGAAAAATGAAAAAAAAATGAAATAACCAGAATTCAATACTTAACTAATATTTGCTATACACTTTTACCGCAATAATAATAATTAAATAATAAAAAAAATAATAACATTTAAAATTATATAATTCAATAACATACATAATCAAAACATTAAAAAAATAATTTAACTTATTTTCGTGTTATAAACAAGCATACCTACATCAAAAAAAGCATAAACAAATTTAAAAAAAAATGAAATTTTTTAACCATACCTTCTAAAAGTAGACAGTTCTAAGTCTGTTTGAAGTGGGAAAGAAAATTGAAATTACTCCGTAAAAAAATGGGAACTAATTCAGATAATACCACCCGTAAAAATTCGGAAATCAATTCAGACGTTTCGGAACCAATTCGGATTTAGCGAATAATCGATGCGTTGTTTCAATAATCCGATTGATTTACATTGTTTTAATATACGGCCGATCCGTCCCTAGACATTTTGTTTCAATAACGCGATTGTATCAACTATCCGTGTTCCTAATGCGGCTTCTGCTGTACATCATAAATGAATTGTTTTTGTAAAGTTTTACATTTTTTCGTGGAATAAAAAAATCATAAATTAAAAATTAAATGCTATATAATAATTAAATATGATAATATATAATATAGATGATGAAATCGATTCGTGGCCGTTAATGAATAAACCATGGTATATATTAACAATACTTTTAATGTATTTAGTATTTGTATTGGACATTGGTCCAAAGTTCATGGCAAACCGTAAGCCAATGAACATTAAATCCATTATGCTCATCTACAATGCTACTCAAACAATATACAATGCATGGCTTGTATGCTGGGTACGTATGGTTATTTCTTTTGCAATTCATAAATTAATATTTTGTTGGAATTCAAATATTAATATTCAATTCATGTTAATTATTCAAACATTATGTATCACAAGAATGCAGCTGATATATCAAACATTTTAAATCATTCCCATTTTATTCTTATTGCGAAATTCAAATTTAATATATTTAATATATATATATGTTACAGTTAAAGTATTGAATTCCGTTATTTTATGGAATAACTAGGTAGTTCATGAATTACCTACAAATGTTAGTTAAAGTATGAAATCATACATAGAAATTATACTTTAACTTATTATTTCATAGAATATCTAGTTATTCCATACAATTTTATTTTGATATATGTTAAAGCATAAAATACATTAAAATTTAAAATACATTGTATCATTTTATTTATTTTAAATTGAATTAATTATTTATTTGTATATGCAAAGCTATTGTAGAGACAGACGAACCAACACTGATCTCGTGCGACTTTAAGACTATTACTAAACTTTAAACCTTACCAATTTTATTGACAATCTTAACAATAATATATGTATAATGATAATTGTATCTATACAATAAACGTACATGAACACTGCAATCATCGACAGCAAGAACGGCAGTTTTATCTAATTTATTGCTATTGTTACGTGCCACCGGCTCGATTTCAAGTAGTGCAATTGATGATGTATTTAAATTTAATTAATAAGATATGAGACTTTAACTTTTATACATTTATTTTAATATTCAAAGTGTTTAACAAATTTTAACATAGAGTGACGTGAAGTTGCTTGCAGTTCCGTGACTAGAACTCATCTGAATTGTGGTCATTTCGGTTTCACTTATATATTGCTCGATTGACGACATATGACTTGTTGTTTAGTATTTATTTAATATATAATATATTTATATAATATAGATTGATCTACGACTCTGTTCTAAATATAATAACCTGCTGTCATACACAATTCATAAAAAGTTGTGTTACGTACAATTTCTATTTATACATGGTTATATCATATATGGCAGCTCATAACACTATGATGAGCAGTAAAATAAAAATATTGTACATGCATGAATATATCAATTTGACACATTAACAAAATGATGCCAGGGAATTTATAAAATAACTATAATATTTTGTAATATTTTGTACTAAAGTATAAATTATATACATTACTTACATGTTTTAGTTATTTTATAAATTATCTAGTTATTTCATAAACTAACTGATTCAACAATACTTTTACTGTAAGATATATACGAATTTAGAAAGTTTCTATAAGAATTTTTAATTAAATTCTATCTTAAGTCAATCAAAAATGCTTTACCTATATTACTACAGGTGTATGTATAAACTATAATGATATTATAGTGAAACCTTAAATTACAGACTGTAGTTAAATACTAATGTGATTCATTTTTACATATTTTTTTGAAGGTAATTTATTTATGTTATGGACATATGAATTAATTAATTAACTTATTGCATTTTATATATTCAGTTTATTTTTTTGCCCGGAACATTCGACTATGTCTGGAATCATTCGTGTTACTCAGATCCAGGACCGTATGGTCGATATTTAATAAATCAGGTAAATCCCATTTACGATACATTAGCTTATTAAGATACACTCTCCATGAATATTTTCAATGAAAAAAAAGAACAACCTGAATGAAAAGTAAGTATGTATTTGAAGGTAGCAAATTCTGGGGTCAGTATAATGTGTGATTTACTTTGTAAATGTGACCTTTTTTACTTTGTTAAATGTAATTGTAATTGTGAAGTAACTACAAATTATAATGAATATTTGATGACATGGCTATTATTAACATTTAAAAATCATGCCCTATATATAATTAGCTTTGATGATCTAATTACTTAAGATACTTATTATATAAGCTAAGGATACATTTTTTATGTTTCATATAATCTTAACACACAACAGTTGTATAGAAAATACGTGATAGTATAAAAACATAGTTCTTCAATAAGAGTCCCAGTAACTTCTGTTATTATAATTTTTATTTTTCTTAAATAATTAGATATTCATTGACATAAAATACAATATAATTTTTATAAATTTAGTGACGTGGTTCAAAATCTGTTTGATCTTCCAATACGGTCCATACAATAAACAAATTTTAAAAATCCAAAAATGCTTGTTTATAGTGACCTTAACTATTAATTTTTTTATTAAAAGGGAATACCCAGTAGTAATTTTTAGATTGCTATTTTCTTTATTTTTTTTTAATTATTATTTTAAATTTTGAACCTGAATAAATGAATTCCTTTAAATAAGTATAAAATAAGTATACTATATTTACAATATTTATATTTAATAAAATATACTGTGGGAAAATGTGTTGTAAATAAATATAAAGTATTAATTACTCATTGTATACATTTATTCATTTTATGTTGGGCGTTGGTCAATGCATGAATATTTTGCCAACAATATATCAAATACATGGTGAAATTATTTTAAATAAAAAGAATCAATAGGTTGATCAATAAATTGAAAATTACAAAAAGAATCATAAAAATACAGAACATAACTATTTAATTATTTAACTAATCTATCTAACTATTTAAAATCATAAGAAGTTTTTCAATATTATGTATAATACTTACTGATCAATATTAAGTTACACATAAATAAAATATAATGTTTTGATTAAAATATATACTTGAATCGGTAACTCAGGGTTGCCAGCTATCAAATTTAAAATAATCGGCCTTAAATAAAATTAAAAATGTACAATATTTCATTAGTCTAAACATGTAATTTGACATATTGTATTATTACAACAATCATCGAATTTATTGTAATATTTATTGTTATAAATACCATTTACTCAAACAGGTTAAATATAAATTAATAACTGTCAATATTTAATCAACATAAACAATAAACGAATTATTGGAATACAAACTTTGCCATTACTATCCGTTTTTCTGAAATCTGAACTCAAAATATACATAGGAAGGTTTATTTCACAATTAACTAATAACAACTAATAACATTTAGAAATAACAAAAATAATATCATAAAACGTATAAATGTATAATCATTATTTTTTCATTATCAATTATTATTTATCAATAATTTATGCTATGTGCCTGAAAACTAGAGATAAGGAGACCAAAGTCTTATGGCAGCCTGTTATAAAAGTGGTCCGAAAAAAAGCACTCGGTTATTTTTCCACCAGGAGCGCATCGATAGATAGGAGGGATACTTTATTCCGGGGTGGTCCAACCATTTTTAGTTGACGGTCCAATTTACACTTTCATAAAAACACTATGGGTTAAAAAAAAGAAAAAATTGATATTATTATGGCAGATGGTAAATTGCGGCAAAATCAACCTTTTTCTATAGTCGATATGTAAGCTGCGGTAAGAAACAATTTAACATTATACAATCTGCGAAAATTTATTTTATATGCCTACGATATTGTGTACTATATAGTATGTAATATGTACCTATGTACAATGTACATAGTATGTATGTACATTGTACATATATCGTTTAATTGATTATGTTATGTTGCGTCTCGTGTACTAAATAGTAAGGTAATGCAAATGTATTTTTAAGTTTTAATGAAACATACTAAATATCAGCTCCTTTACTTTTACTTACCTGGTTAGTACCTAGTTACTAATATTAGATGTCAGTAGAAGTAGATAAAAGTTTAATATTTAGTTCAACATGATGAAATTTACAACAATGTTTTACCAAAATGACAAACAATTAATACCAAATAATTAATAGTGTCAAAAAATTTTAAATTCAAATTTTAATGTGCATTCAAAATAAGTGGCAATATAATATGTGAACACGCAAGACGCAACATAACATAATTAATTGAACGATATACGTACATAAGTACACACATAGTATAAAACATTAAAAATACGATAATATGACGATATTTTTATAATATTATTGTGACTTTTTTTTTTTTAATATAAGTCATCTATAAATGAGAGTCAAAAAAAAAAGGCTTCGAGGGCCACTTTACTTTATTTCATGAAGACTAGAAATATCTATATATATATATATTATAAAAATAAAGTTACATCATTAAACAAAATATAAATATTATTTATAAGTACGATTAATCAAATATTTCATATACATTATACACATAATATAAATCAGAGTATAAATTATATTTATAAATATACATTATATACTATTGTTATAGATTGATGATAATGATAAGTTTATATTTAATCTTCAATACCTACTTGATTTTGTATTATACTACTGTGATATTCTTGTATTATTTTTCTTAAGCAATAAAAATACTTTATTAAATATGGTTAAGTTTTATTATGTAACAGGGAGTAGTACACCTCTCTAAAAAATTTTCTTCTAAAAGTATTAAAGAAAATAAAACAAGTAGGTTAAGAAACCAATTTCATTTAAAATGACAAAAAAAAAATGATTAACCGAAGGTTCAAAGTTATCAAGCAAACGTACTTTAAAACGTAACGTTTGAATTGTATTTTCATTAAATAAAATAATAATTAAAATAGATTTTAACAACGTATAACATAAAAAAAAAAAAAATTGGATTATTATTTTGAAATTACTTAATAAAACTTATTCAAACCATGTTATTCATGGATTATGGTGTCCTCCTTATCGAATGACCTACTAATGGTGGCAGAAAAATCGTGCGCTTATTGTTGGACTATTTTTGGGTACGGAATTTGGTCTCCTTATCTCTACGGCCTTCACGGCCATTCAGGGGCGTATTTTAGGTGGGGGGCCAATGGCCCTACTTTGAATCCGTATTTAAGGAATCGATCATTTGTGAGATACATACTTCAATTTTTTTTTAATGTGGATAATTTTATAACGATACTTAGTATCCATACTTAGTGAAAAATCAAATAAAACATAACTAACGTAACTTTTAAAACACAGGCAGGTGTTAAAAAAGAACTACACCAAAGTCGATTCTAAGTGTATCCGGCATTACATTAGAAAAAACCAAAAATATTAAGGATTCATCTGATTTAAATATTAACAAAAATTGTACTTGTATATTTTGAGCCTGAATTAAAGGAAAAATTTGAGTCGTCATCCCCCCAAGAGGTATTTCTAAATACGCCTCTGCGGCCATGAGTGTTTGGCGTCAGCTTCTATTAGTTGGTAGTTGCTCGAAACTGAACAGTCGTACAGTGCTACTATATGAAAATGAAAAATGTATTCCACTAACGATTTGATTGAGTATAAAAACTAATAGGATATAATAATAAATCATTGAAATTGTTTATTTATTTATGAAAAACTAAATGATGTTACGCAAAACCGGCAGTGGTATTAAACAACGGTTAGGCCGGCCAAAAATCAGTTGGTTGGTAACCCTGCTCTTATTGGATTTAAAATGGCATGGATTTTAACCAGTTAATTCAAGTTTCTTATGGTCGATTGAAAGTTGAATAAAATGCCTATCATGAAATGCAGTCATAAAAAAAAAATTTAAATCATAGTACTAATCGTAGTAATACTATACATGTAGCACGTTTAATAACGGTTAATGAGTAAACAAAGTCGAATGAAATAAAATGTCTAGTAAGTAATATGAAAGTAAGTGAATCACGTAGACTCGGTGCTTTCTATTGTACCATATTATGAAACAAGGCCACGAGAATAAAAAAATTCTTTATCAACCGCATTTATCAGGTTTAAAAATGTACCATACAATAAATGGATCAAATACTATTACCGTAGGAATAAATCACCCTAGTCTGCTATAAAAATTTACAAGATAATTTATTCTAACGAGTAAAAGTAAAAACAAAAAATCGATTTTACAAAAAAGGAAAAAAATGTTATTGTAAAGACTTATTTAATATTTATAACTAATTATGACAAAATGCTTCCAAAACACGTTTGCTGATAGATAAATGTGTTATAGTTAATTGTTAATATAAATCAATGTGTGTGTATGTATATTATAAAATTGTGTTGATTAAATACAGTTATGACTAGTATTTAAAGCAATAAAAAATGTACGTTAAAACGTTTGTAAATTATTCAATAAAATAATATTGCAAAAATATTGATGTTTTAAATAAATAATTCTTCACACGAAAAAACAATAATTTATCATTATTATTTTTTTTTTTAAACTGACAAATTTATTAACTTTTCAATCCATTGTAATTTTTTACAGAAGTACCGGATATGTGTAAATATTTCGACACGTGTGCTTAAACTGCTATCACATTTTTAGTTTTAAATTTTCATCAATAAATTTCAATAACAAGACTCATACTTGTAGTTTTATCGATTAATTTTAATTTTGAACGGGAACGCGTTGCTTTCCCGAAAGATGAGTAATAGGATGTCTTACTAAAAGTTGAAATCACATATTTCTAATCGTCTAATCAAAATAACAGTATATTTATCATACATATGATGTTGGTCAGTCACCAAGGCTTGCATATCAATTATCTGCCTATCTGACGCACTAAGATTATATCATTTTGAAATCAGTTACGATGGTAATGATATCATATTAAAATTCAAGAAATATTATTTGAAACCTAGTCCATTTCTCCAATGAAATCAATAAATATGATAGTCTTGTATACGAGATATTATTACCTAGAGTATTATTATTATTTACAAGAGTATCGCAAATCAGAATTTATTAGATAGCTATCATAAAATGGTGCAATTATTAATGTGATTGTTTTACGTAGCCTAGTGTAAGTTACATACGCGTTCGTGAACAAGTTGGAATTGAATTATTATTTTTTAAATATCTCAGCGACTAAGTAATTGTTGAAATATATTCAAAACATAACGGAATTGCAAGTTTTTATTTTAATTCCTAACACTTTTCGTGTTGTAAATACGTGCTGTAAATACGTTCAAAGTAATAAGACGGCATTAATTTTATCACGCATTCCAGTTGTGAGTTATATACCTATACCTTACTTATACTTGTCGGGTAAAAAAAATGATCACTAAAACTGCTTTACCCATCACAGTAAAATATTCACATAATCTCGTTAAGTACATTCAAAGCAATTTTAACTTTTACAAGACTATTTTGGCATTCAAAACTTACTGTCAGCGGATAATTTAAAAGCACTAATTTTAATAAAACTATGTACACACGTTTGAAAAAATAATCAATTTTATATTAATTTAATAGAACATTATTTTTTTTTAACTTACTACTATCGTACAAAATGTTCAACACATTTTCCGCATTTTATCCCTTTTTACTCCACTACCTGTTTGTTTTATTAAATCCGGCTATGGATATAACTATATAGATATTAAATCACTATTATCACTTTCTCCGGACATATTTCATATTTTAGATAAAAAAAATTAGCTTATAAAACAACAGAATATTTCATTGAGAAATATGCATTTCACATTATCATCCAGTTTTAAATATAAAGAAAAAAGAAAGTGAAACTAATTTATAATTATTGTTTTTAATATTAAAATTGTCAAGTATCGTCTAGGCGGAATTTAAGACGTTCAGTGACGAACGGAAAACTCCACAACACTATCCGTGTGTTGAGGTCACTGAACCACTCTATTGAAAAACAAAATACTCGTTTTACGATATGTGTATATTTTCGTTCATTTTATATATAGTGCGTATAATATGACGTGTTGTAATAATAATTTAGTTTTCGATTTAAAGCGTATCGTTATTACGTTATTTTTTTTTTCTGTCTGATTCTTATACTTTATTATATCTGAGCAAACTTAATAAGTAGTAGAAACTAATAATTACAAACGAAGTTCACCAAAAAGAAAATAAAGCATATAAGGAATAAAAAAAAATATATCACAAATTTATCAAATACTACACTTCCGAGCTAACACAAACAATGTGAAACTGATATCCACAAACTTCTCATAGTATGCATTTTGTTTATCACAAGTTTCAGACGTCGTTAGGTCGCATACATCACTGTACACAAGTTTTGGAATACGTGATACACTTGTCTGTGGTCTTATATATTGTAACACCAATTGTTGTTTTGTAATATAGACTTTACAAAAATTGTTGTTCTTTTTACTTAGTTTCATTCCCATGCTAATTCAAGCGAATATCGTCCATCTCCATTCAAAGTTCCGAACTCAATATTTCGACTCAGTATATTTTATTAACTCAGTTTAGTTTTCAATGTATACTCATCATCAGGTCAATTGAATTTAGCTATAAAAAAAATTAACAAAATATACATTAATTTAAAAAAAATTTCTTTTATTGTCCTTGCATAGTTACTATTGAGTAACTCAATACATCTTATATTTGGCTGTATAGTAATATTTTGCACCAATTAAGTAATATTGTTACGTGGAAGGACTTTATTTTAAAATTATCGATTATTTTTGGCGTTATTATAACTATTGAAATAAAGATTTTAAATTATCAAAAATATTGCCACTTTTAAATAGTATGTCATCGTTTTACGCAAACTGTTTAAAAAACATACTATAAATATAAATAACCTGTTTCAGCTTTATAAAGCCATGTGGTATTATTTCATATCAAAGATAGCAGATTTTTCAGACACCGTAAGTATACTTACAACCTGCATTATTAATTACATTTTATAACGTCAAATATAGTCAAAATTATAATAACATAAATAATACACTAGTATAACAGTATAATAATATAACGTATCTTGATATAAATATTTACATGTGGAAGTGTACGTGGTAGAGGCGAGCGCATGCGATTGATTACAAAGCACAACAATTCTGCTATAGTGCGAAACCAGTTTTCGAGTCTTGCAGAATGGTGTATTAATTATACATTGTTGCTAAAAACCAGATTCCAGTATTATGCGTACGGATTACGTATAATATTATATTATAAAACCTATTACAGGGTAATATCATGTTAGAACGTTGTGTGTTTTTCAAATGTATTTTAGCAAGTACTACTCGAATGGAATCAATTGAAACGTTGTTAGCTGTACCAGCACTATGTTTACACCGTTCACGCTTTATTTTACCCTACGAAAATTCAATTTGTACACGGTGAACGCGTGCTCATATGAACTGTCAATAAATTACAATACGACATTGCATTATTTCATGATTTTTTCGGTTAGCGATATCGTTGAATAACAATAATAATAATCATATGTACGATAAAAAAATCATTTTAACACTTCGTACATAATTGCCGTTCGAGACTTGTTGTTAACAGTGTTAAAATAACGCATATCGAATAAACGTGAAATCGTCTTGCATACCTGTGTTTAATTAGAATCGATATTGGATGCAATAGCGTGTACTTGTGCCTCCATACATCTCGACCGCAGGGTTTATATGTATCCTGCTTTATTTAACGTCATGTTAAAACAATAATTGTTAAAATACGTGCATCTGAAAGGCAAAAACTGTGATAATGCATTTTTATCAAAACTCTATACCATTTCTGAAACTACACAAAATAATATCATCATCAGCACTGTAATTACACGAGAATCTGTTTGAATCTGTTATAAGATAAAATAGGAAAACAATAATGATTTAAATGGCGGTGATAAATTATTAAAATACACACAAACCTCGACGGTTTTCCAAAATAATCGACTCATAAGAAGTTAAAAGACACAACAACACATTAAAGATACGTAAAATATAAGATTTTTCAAGTTATAATATGTTTAATTTGTTTTTTCCACGTTGTAATCATGCAATTCAATCTTGATTAAAAATATTGATAGATTAAAAAAACAAGGCCTAGAAAAAGATAATAGTAATAATAACTATAAAAACCACACAACCTTTTTTACGTATACATAGAAAAGGTAATATTTTCCTCGCGTGCAGTGCCGTATTTATATATTTTACGCCCCGGCGCAAAAAAAAAAATTGGCGCTTCTCTAAGGGACCTACCGACGGAAAAAATAGGAGATAGATCCTCATGAACCTTTTAGATATTCTAAAATCAATGCTATTTTTGTGTAGTAGGCACGTCACCGCATGCCGCACGCGATAACATAATACGCCATATTATTATAAATAACTTTTGTTTATTGACATAATCACTACAAATTTGGGAACTAATATTAGGTATATTAATAATATTCTGGATCGCTGATAGCTATAAATACATGAATAATATATAATAAACAAAAATAATAATTATTTCTAAATAATTTTAAAAGTTCAATGATTCACAAGTGAGCAAATTTCCGACCACAAAATTTTGGCACCCCAAAAAACTGGCGCCCGAGGGAGTTATAGGCAGTGCCTCCCTCTCTAAATGTGGCTCTGCCCACGTATATTATCTTGTTTATAAAATTGGTTTTGAGTTTAAAATAGATTTTATTTTTCAAGCATTTGTCGAATATTATACATTAATATAAAAACATAAAATTAGTTAAGAATGTATGCTCATAATACTCGTATGTTTTTTCACAGATATTTTTCGTCTTGAGAAAAAAACAATCTCAAGTTACATTCTTACACGTTTACCACCATGTAAATATGGCATTTTCTTCTTGGTTTCATTTAAGATTTATTAAAAGTAAGTGTAATACAAAGTATTAATTTCAAATTAAAATATTTTATAATTGAAAACATAATACGAGTATTTCGTTATTATCATTCAAATTGTTGTACAAATATTAAACGTCTCGACAAGTAGTGATTTAATAATTTAACTTGTAAAAGATTATAATTAACTATCAAAATAATTGAAAAATATCAAAAGGGCAAAAATCCGAATACAAGAGTGTATTGATGCAAACTATTAAATCAATACATTTTCTATTGAATTTTAAATTTTAATACACTCATATTATCATTTGTTCCTTTAAATTAAATTAAATATTTGTAATTTTCGGCAATAAGAGTTATACTTTGTTTGTGTAATTTTATTTATGAACTTATACGACATGAATAAAATCTAATAATAATGTAACTAATGATTTGATGCAATTAAAAATATTATTTTATTAAATACATCATTTTATAAAGGTGAACAGATAGCAGTTGGTGGAATCATCAATACAATAGTGCACACAATTATGTACAGTTATTATTTTTTGTCAGCGCTCGGGCCTCAAGTCAAAAAATATCTTTTTTGGAAAAAATACTTGACCGGACTTCAAATAGTAAGTTCTACAATCTTTATAAATTAAACTCGTTCCATAATGAGTATTTAGTTTCTGTATATATGTAAAACATTTTTCAGTTTCAGTTTGTGATGATCATATTCTACGTGTTCGGGCTTTTTATATTCGATTGCAAATTTCCAAAACTGTTTATGATGTATGTTATCATTGACCTAATAGTGTTTTTACATTTGTTTATGATATTTTATAAAAAAACTTATGTAAAAAAAATCAAAACGTAATAGAAAAACAATAAAAGAATATGTAAATATTGGTAGTACACTGTTGCGTACGTTTGTCTATTTTCGCAATGCGAGATTGCGTTGATATGGTGTTGCTATGTGACGCTAAAAATTAGTACCCGTTTGAAACCAGTGCAACGTCGGCAGTGAATGGAATGCATTACAATGGTGGAATTACAAAATTAACAATTTAATAAGTTATAACTATTAATTTCTGTAATAAATAGTTATAAATGAAAAATAAAATATTTGTATTCTTATTGTATTATTAAATTGTATTTGAAACAACTCGAAATACCTATATCATAATAAAATAATATTTAAAATTTACATTCAAAAACATAGTTCAAATATTACAACTCGCCTGTAACTATTATAATTTTAAGTGGTAGGGGGAGTAAATCATACGCATTCGTGATAGGGAAAAAGTTAAGTACACGATCATAATCTACCCATTAAAATTAAAAATGTAAAAATGTCAGTAGATATTAAAAATCAAAGTGTGTATATTTATATTTATAAATATTTTAGTGAAACATACGAGTAATATAGAACATCGGTTCTTAACCTTTGTGTAGTGGCGACCCAAGATATTTACCAAATTTTTCCTGCGACCTTTTTATAAATAATATTCAATGGAAGAATAAAAAATAACTATTTGGTACTCTTAATTGAATAACATTTTTTACTCATATTACATGTATTCATAACAAGTCATGATATTAATTACAGTATATTTAAAAATAAACATTTCTTTTAATAATATTGTATTGTTTTTTAAATAATTTTTAATTGAATGACTTCCTTGGTCTTGATGTTGCTTTACCAATGAATCAATTTAGAGTTAGTAAGTGAAATACGCATCGTGGGTTCGACATCAAGCTTGTTTCTTGATTTGGTTTTGATTTTAGTTAATATTTTTATTACAACATGTAAACATATTAGTTTATGGCCTTTGCATACTCAAATTTAACTCATTTAATAACGAAAAAATATCTGATAGATACGCAACTTTTGTCAACCAAATTATATCTTGAAAATGGATGGAAAACAGTGAATTTTTTTCTCATAAAAATACTTCTATTTCAGTTCTTAATTCAAAAAATCTCGTTGAAATTTTTCTCCGTGATAACCAACGTACATGAGGTTTCATTTATTATTTATAAGACTTAAAAATAAAAATATTATAATAACGTTTTAAATTTTTATCTGACCCATTTAAAATTATTGGCGATCCGAAATTGTGTCGCGACCCTATGGTTAAGAACCGCTGATATAGAACATTGTGACTTTTTTCTTAATGCACAACTATTAGATTTATATTATAATTTAAAAAACATGGTCTTACAAAGACATAATTCATAATTAAATTCTAATTTTTTATAAGTATATTTTTTTATATGATAGTTTATGTTTATATATTACAAAACTTAGGAAAAATTTAAGTAAGGAAGAAGGGTTGAGACTCTTTAAAATTTGCCAACTGGTAGTAATGGTCGACATTTTTACAATTCTCCATACCTCTAATAATTAGTCAGCAGGTATCACACTATATATATATATAGTAATATAATTTTTATTATTATATTATTTTGACGTTAATCAGCTATTTACATTTACATTTAAGAAATGCTCCTATACTTATGTATACTTATGTATCTATATTATCACAATTATTAATATTGGTTATTGTGTATTTTTTAACCAATTTTCTTACTCTGCAATCTAATATATATCTCAAATTTAATTATGAATATGTAATGATTATTAATACAGTATAGTACTCAGTCGACAGATTTTTTTATTGAAAGTCGGTAATATTTTCATCAAAATCACACTGTAAAAATAAACTTTCAAACCGCTCCTACAAATATTTACATAAAATATTAAAAAAAAAAATTAAAACATTAAAAAAAACACACACAAATATGATTTTAATACCTTACAATTATTAAGCACGTATGTAACTTTCAAGATGATAATTCATAAAAATAATAAAAACAGATTTGAATTGTAAAATATAATTTTATATAATGTTGTAATTTTACATGCGAAAACATAATATAATATGTTAAAAACTAAGAATAAATACATGTTAAATGATCCTAAATTTGTATTGTAAAATATTTATAAACAGTGTACAGAGTGTTCCATGAAAATATGAACAATTTTGTATAGGTTTGTACTAACTATAAGTGTGGTAATATTTTAGATATTCTCGTATGATATATTTTATATTATAAAACAATACAGATAAAATATAACTTAAACAAATTTTTATCAAAAAGAATCTAATAAATAAAAACCCTGTACAAGTTCAAGGATAATATGTATGAAAAACCAAGAGATGTTTACTAAAGTAATCTTATAAAGAACTCCCTAATTATGCATTGTAGTTGTTCACCTCGAACACAATGATCATCGGTTGGGAATGGTATTTGCTATAAAGCTAGCTAGCCATCATTTATAAATGTGATCGGGTGGTGTTCAGTCCGTAAATCGTCTACAGTACGAACAAATTTAACGTATCTTTATAAATAAAAATAAATAAATAAAAAAAAACGTGCCAACAAAATACTTTGTTTTTGTTCAGTTTTATTAATATCAAATACTTAAAGAAGTGGAAAAAAAATCGAATATATAGGGGATGGGATTTTTTATGTCGTGAAAAATTTAGCAAATTATTTAAAATCTGTAAACGCCAATATTACTCATATTGTGATTGACTTGTATATTAACCAATCAGGAATCATTGAAAGGTAAGAATTTAATTTTAATATCGTTATAATAAAAAGTGATACTAAATACAGAAACAGGGTACATCATTAGAATACATATTTTAAAATGGTCATATTTGAAAAACCATTTTCAAAATTCAATAGAAATTATATTTTCAAAAGAAAATTGTTGATCAGAACTTTAGAAATACTTTAAATGTATTTAAATATACTATTTTGGTTTGGAAAAACGTTTACTCATAATTTACACAAAATTATAATTATATTTGACGAAATCTATAGTTAAGATAATCGTAAAATTTAAAATTATACAAAACACTATAAATCACATGATACAATTTTTTTTTCATTCAACCTTATTAGAATATTATCAAATTAAACTCATTTGTGATTTTAAAATATTACAAATTTAGTTACCCAACATCATATAATGCATCATTAAAAATGAATTGTTATTATTTAGCATAAATTATTAAATTATTAATGATGTTTACAACTTTCTACAAATGAATAAACAGTGTTATTTCAAAATTACAATATTATTAGTCAATATTTTTCAATTAGCCTAGAAATTTTCAAATTGTTCTAAATATGAAACCATAGTATGTACTAAATTTTTCTGCTTTAAAAAAATTGGTGATAGTGGTATCGAGTTTCTGACGTGTATATTATTTGACATAAATCTGAAAATAACCAAAAATTATAATATTAATTAACTGTTATATCGCAAGTTACATACATTTTTCGTTATTGTTGTTTTCTAATTTAAAAACAATATTTCTTATGCCATCTATGATTTTATTTATTGTTTTTCAATTAGTTGATGATTCTTTGTGGCATTTAATAAAATAAATTGTATGCATTAACACAATAAATAAAAATACATTAAAATGATTCTATTCAATTTCAGATTAAAATATAATATGAAATATATGATTTAAAATCATAAATTTATCATTGTAAGTATATTTTCATAAATAAAAGTAATTCTTAACAACTTTTAATAAAATAATTAAGAAAATGTAATAGTGAATTTATATTGGATCGAAGAATTAGAATTTGTTTGTGTGTCGTTGTAAATATATGTGTTGATTTGATTTTTATTTGCTTTTCTATTAAGACACAACATTAGAATTTATCACATTAAATATTCTTGAAAATTAATGTAATTTAGGACATAAGTTACATTTTTAAAACTTATAAAAATGTTAAATTTTTAAAATTTATTTATTTTTAATAATCAATGAATTATCATTTGAACTAGTTTTACATTAATTTTTCCTACAAAAGACATGAAAATATTAATTTATATAAATACTTTAGTTATAGTATAAGATACTTAATATAATTTACAAATATTTTTTCTTTTTTTTTAATATTGCTTTCGCTAAATAAATCTAGTGAAAAAAAAATGAAAAATGAACTTTTTTAAATATACCATCTGTTTTCAATATTTGTGTTTAAAAGTAACTGTATGGAACTTCTGAACAGACTCACTATCTTGCGTTAGAAAAAATAATATTGTAAAACCAAACAGTTTTTTCATTTTATGCGTTCTTAAAAATAATAATCTTTCCAAGTCGTACAAAAATATTCATTAATTTCTTTATTTTGACGATTGTTCGTGAAAAAATTACTATGTTTAGAAACCGTGATAAAAATTGTGTTTGAACCTAATTCAATTCAATTGCATACCCTTTAATAATATTTAAAAGTATTTTACAGCTATATTTTATATTTCATTTATTTATAAATATAACGAGATACTACTGCTGAACAAAGCTCTAAACAATAAAATATTTTCGGTTTTCAGTAGATTTATTTTATTCGACCAATATGGCCTTAATCAAATAACTAATTTTTTATTTCTATAGATACTCAAATTAACATAGGTGGTAATAATTCAAATGCTTATGTCCAATATAGTTCAACTATTTCCAATGTTATTTTATAATGATTTTAACTTAGGAAATCGTTAAATTATACTTCCTAGAGATGTTTTATCTCACCGATAAATATCAAAGTGTGATCATTATCTACCATAACAATACTATTTATAAGTGAATACATATTAATTAAGCTAATACACAATACACAAGTTACACGATATAACTCATATAATTACGCATATAATCTTAGACTGATTTTCAACTGATTAATTTTTTATTATTGTAGTAAAATACATATATATGTGTATATATATATATATATATATATATATATATATATTTAGACCACTAAACAATAGTAAACCATATAACGTCCTAAATACATATTTTAAGGTTTAGTGTGAAAAAAAATAACCAAGCCAAGTTTTTATACATACATATAAGTATGTACTAACCTAACCTAACCATTTTTTTTGTAATAGTGTAATATTCTTTTATTTTTAGATGATCACGTTTTTCCCATTATTGTATCATTTGAAAATTATCATCCTAATAACAACGAATATTCTTGAATGACAACATAATATATATATATATAAATATGATTAGTAACATTTAATTTATTACATTTATATAATTCGTAATGCTCGTATGGTTTTATGTAGAAAATCATCCTATCTATGGTGGTTATTAAAATTTAAAAACAATATTATTAATCAAACATTTTCACTTTAACCTACATTTTTAAAACTGTGTGAAAATCAATTTTAAACTACATTCATTGTAATAAATGTCAAACTAATAATACGTTTTTTCGATATCACTGATGTAGGCTTCACAAACTAAAAATGTTTAAACAACAACATACTAATAATTAAATAACTTATTCACAACAATTCATATCACTAATTCAAAATTCATAGCTGATGCTGGTACCAGAAAATTAAGAATTAATTTTGGCAGTTTTATTTAGGTAATGAATTCCAAATTGTATTGTTAATGCCTAATAGGCATTGCCTAGTGTTCAAAAATATTGATTCTGTAGTACCAGTGTCAGTGACCTATAGTTTTCACATGAAAACCATGATATTATAATGTAAGACTTTTATTGATATGGAAAATATAAATTATTTTTTAGTGACACTATTTCAATAATATCGGTATCATTCGTACGCTTTGTACCGAATTCAATATCTGGTTAAATATGTATAAAAATGGAAAGCTTATATACTTATATAATCAAATATTATAAAACACTTATAATAAAAAGAAATTTTCTTAAATATAATAATATTGGCCATAATTGGTGAAAAATATCGGTATACATTTATCGATGTTATTTTGTGTTATTATGTTTATTTTCGTACTTTGTAGTGCAGGGTCGTAAATGGCCATATCTTACATTCACTTTTAGCATTTGTTATCAAATAGTCAATGTTTCATAAAAAAAAATAAGAAAATTAAACGTCCTCATAAGCCTGTGATAACATCGTAAATATTTTTTAAAAGATATCGATTTTTTATTAACTGATCAAATAAAATCTTAGCTAATAACTATATAAAAAACACTCGATCATTTTAAATTTATAAATAATCTTTTTTATTCGGCTTGGAATGCATTTTAACCGGTCAGTTGTTATTAATTTTTGAACTCTCAACTATTTAAACGAGTTATTTCAAAGAAATTATTGTTTTATTTACATTAAAGTAACAAAAGTAAGAACAATATCTGTTAATTTACTTTCTAAAATAGTGCTTCTCAACGGAGGCGATGAAGGCGTACCGAAGGGCGGTGAGCTCGTTTTGGGCGATAAGAGGGAGGTGAATTTTTTTTCTGTTCAAAACAACGCAACAAGATTTATCTGTAATTGTTTCCCATTTATCGATTTCTAAAATAAATTCGTGATCATGAGATATAAACTACATATACCAGAGGCAGTGTGTTATTATCTAATAACGAAAAAAAATAAACTGACGTCAAGAAACAACATAATTTCCAAACTTATAGGCTCGAATAGGAGCAACAATGCTAAGGTCTTACGAATATCTGCAATAGCGTTAGTGTGGTCGAATATTGAGCCCCTGTTTGGGAAAGAGACGTAAATTGCCACAAAGTTGACACGCAATTTAATCATACTATGCGAATCATCTTAAGTATAGTTAGATCCACTTAAGTACAATAGTTTCCGACACTTGCTGATATAGCTCCATCAGACTTAAGTAAATTGCAACTCACAGAATAAATAATTTAAAAAAATAATAAAACATCCTGAGCTTAGTAGTCTTTACATGACGACTTCGCAGTGTACCCTCCCAAAAAAATTAAATCAAGAAACCCTATATGGGAACTGAAAAACCAACAAATGTCACAACGGTGGAAATCTGGAAAAAACGATCGAAAAATTCTGGTGTACGGAACGTTTCACTCAGTATCGCTTAAATTAATTGGGCCTCCGGCAAAAAATTAACAATGGACCTCTAAACAACTTAATATTGGAGAAAATTCAATAAATACCTACTAAAAATTTTTTTCTTGTTACGCTCAAACTCTACTGCAAATTTTAATTCATTTTTGTTTTTATATTTATCAAAGCTGATATTATTGAATTATTATTATGTTCATGTATTTGTCTGTTAACAACACATCTCAATTTTTCAAAGTACATTGATTCTAATCAAGAGAACAAAAATGTAAAAATTATAGTGGTTATACCTAGTTATATTAAATCAAGTCAACAATATTTCAAGATTAAGATAAGAATAACCTAATTTTAATTTAATTCAGGAAAATAATTACTATGATTTTTCATGTTAGCTTGGTTGCTTTGAGTACAGAGGTGGATTTAGGAAAGGTTCAGGAGTTAAACTGCCCCATAATTAATATTTGTTGACAAAATTAACCTCTTGAAGACTTCTTATATATTTTAAGTGTGCCAACTATAAATTGAAGTTAAAACTAAACTGGCAAATTCTCCAATTTTCAGCCATTCTCTTTAAATGAAGCCACTAGTTTAATTGTATACTAAAATAAAACATCTCTATGCTGACATATACACAATGTAAGATAACATAAAATAAGATGAATTTTTACAGTAATAATTATGAAAAAACTTAGAAAACAAATACGAGTATTATATGATCATATTGCTTTTTTGTTACAAGGAATACATTTATAATTCATTTACAACTCTAATAAGTTGTTTCTTGAAATAACTAAACCACAGATCTCTAACTGTGATTCCGCCCCTGGTTGGGTCCCTATTTTAAGAATATGGTAAATCTCAGGGCCTCCGGCGATTGCCGGGTGTCAGACCGATGCTGGTTTTACTGATAGATAACCCAGAACCAAGTCCCGAGTTTCGAGTTTCCGAGACCACTATGGACAACATTAAATAGAGCAAGAACGGAACAAGGAAAATTTAGTTACTTAATGCACAAAGGGGGAAAGTTAGAATCCAATCTGTGAATACGGAATGCATCAAACGATACGCCATATCGTCGATAAATGCCAACAAACATATTTTATTGGAGGTCTGGAGAAACTGCATGAAGCAGAGGAGAAAAGTGTGAAATGTATGGAGGATCTGGATTTAAGACTGTAAGCTAGTACTTTATAAGTTACCAAGTCTACCCGTCTAGTCATACATAAACTTCTAGCTATATACCTATAGTCATAGTCTTATTTTGTGTGTTTTTATTTATTTTATTTAACTTATAGCTTATTAATATCTTTATCATCTTTATTGTAACTGTGCCTTATTTTTGTGATCCAATAATGTCATATGCAAAATAAAAATAAGTGATGATCTGTATTTTTATCAATTCATGAAGACATATGTTTGATAAATGTATGTAAAATTTAATTTATTTTTTGCAAGAGATGTATTTTGAAAAGTCCATTTGAGAACATATAATTCCGCACTATGTTCATCATTATTGTCCAGAAAAATTCATCATCTACTCATTTCATTAACACAATGTGTCGATAGGTCATATCGATTTTATCGATAATTTTATTTTGATTCATCAAAAATGTTATCTTATAAAAGTTATCTATATTATATTTTATGATATTTGCAACCAATCAAACACAGATCAAGTAAAATGTCGATTATTCGCATTAATTAATTCATGAAATAACGAAATGCAAATGAATGTTAAAAATGAATAATCAAACAATGATTACAAATTTTACTGGAAATAAAATCTTTTGAAACGATTCTATTTTCTTTTTTTTCTTTTTTAATATAAACTGTTTTATTTTCATTGATCTTCAAAAATCAATGAACTTTATAGAAAAAATTAGTTTTATTGAAACTTTTAATACGTAAATATCGTTAAAAATAATGTTTAAAAATATATTTTAAACGCTATAGATATTTATTATTATTATTATTATTATTATTATTATTATTATTATTATTTATCTTATAAATATTATTAGAGTTCACTGATTTAATTGCATTATTATTACAAGCAAGCGTATGAACAAAATAATATTATTTGATACAAAATATTAAAATTAAAACAAAATTCTATATCTAATACAGACGATATTAATAAACCAAATAATTTTTCTTTCAGATGTAGTCGATATTATATTTAATTTATAATAACAATTGATACGATTACATTTACATATTGGTACAACACTTTACTAAAATATCATATGAATACGTCATGATTCTCAGATTGCATCATTTTTGAATATGTTAAAAATATTATTAATTGGGATGGATTAAAATACCTAAATATCGTTATAATAAAATGATTTTAAAGAGAAGTGGGGTGAAATAAATATTCCATTAAAGGGAGTTTAAAAATTATTTGTTATTTATGATTGCTAAATGGTTTTTCACGTATAACATTTAAACCATATTTTTATAAAAATTATTATAGATTTGCATTGTAAAAAGAAAGTAGTCCGTTATACAAGTTGTGGTATATAAGTAAATAATGTTTATGTTAGGGGAAAAATGTATTATCGAGTATTGTATAATTGGCTCTTAGCCCGGTTCATTTGTACTGGACCCATGCTTAGTAAGCAAATTTGAACAATTTATAGTGCCCACCGTTTAACGTGCAATGTAATTTAAAAATTACTACAACCAGTATAACATTATAATTTTATTTTTTAAAATTATTGTGACATCGAGTAAAATTATACAAATCTAAAACTTTTATAAAAAAAAACAATGAATATAAAAATTATATTTTGAATTACACGTGCTACTGGATGAAATAGGTAAAATGTATTGTTTTACATTGTTGAACACCGTTACGTCAATCATATTAATATCCTTAACTTCAAAAATATAAAAACTTTTAGAATGATCTTCTTAATAGCATTGTGGCCTACCAAAAATACAATTGGTTACATAACTATATTATACTCGCACATGCTTCAGTTGTGTTACAGTGCTATATTTATAATTTTGATCTTTAGAGTTTCGAAAATTTATGATTCAAATAGTTTTATTAATTCTTCCTTCTTTTGTTTGTTTGGATTTTCAAATTCGCTTCCGATTTTGTATTTCTTGAGATTTTTCCTAAATAATTTTTCCTAGAACATGATTATAATTAATTTAATTAATGCTTTTTAATTTCATCCTTCTCCGTTTCTTTTTTCTTTCTTTTTTTTTACTTGTTTCTTCGACTGGCGTTTTTCTTAGTTTCTGTTATTCAGTGGCTCATTTAATACGAGGTCTGAACCTTTTTCAGTTTTAAATTTTAATAAAAAATGTCTAAAATATTAACCCCATTTTCAAGTTACATCTAAAAATCATAGTTCTGCCATTATTTTCACCCAACTATTTAAAGTACATATAATCGGTTTCCCAAAATATTTTTATATTGTTTGAATAATAGTTCGATTTATATGGTTTATACAATAGTGATCGATTATTACATTAATACAATTTAGAATACTTATAAGCCTTCATTATGAACGTTGTGCTGAAAATAAAAACTTTCTATTAGCAGAACAATTAATTTTTTCATGTCAGATACTACATCATATATTATATCTTTTCAACAGTTTATTTCCGTTTAGTTTGAAAAATGTTATGATTTTTTCAATTCTAATATGAAATTCTAATATTTTTATTTTGTTACATTGTCATTATAATTATAAATCATCTCGCGTATATCAGGTTATAAATTTGTTATTTAAAAATATTTAGTGTCAGATCAAATATAAATTTTGATCTATTATTGTCTATCGACTGCAATAATAAAAGTTAAAAAACTAAAGAATTAGTTAATAACATTTATTAAATATTAATAATATTCCTAAATAATAATCCATATTAATTTTCGTAGTTAATTAAAAATTCCAAGTAAAAGAAACGTTCGCCGTGAAATTTTTAAGATTCAACATTTCAGAAAATCCAAACTCGTCAAATCACATCTTTGATCGGGCAATATGTAAAAGTGACAATATCCTACAACTGTCTAAAAATAAGATCTCATTTCGCATTCATTCCATAACAATATTACTAATACTACAATGTTTTTGTATTAAGAAATTACAGTAAGATGTAATAAAAAAAAAAAAAACAATATTATTTTATTAAAAATTCGGTATATTGATTTGTTATTACTTTATTGATAATACACTCACGAAAACAAATTTTATAGATGTTAAGCTATTAATAATTTTATTTGCATTAGATTAAAATTTAAAATTACAGTATAAGTATTTATAGTACAATAACATTTAAATGTCTTTACTATATAAAAAAAAACCTTGATATATTATTATTGTCTCTAGAAGCTACGCTTGTAATAGAAACAATAATTTTAATAATATATACTTAATATACTCATATTAAAATTATCATATTTAATTTTCATTCAAACTTATCATACAATTAATACACATTTTATATACTGTAGTATTGTTGTATAAAATATGTAACAATAATAATTAATTATTTATATTGTTAGCTTAGCTTTGGTCACCTCACCATGACCACTATGGCTTTCAATAACGAACATCCTTTTTACAAAGAGTGAAATGATATAAAGTAGAAAATATATTCAGCGAAAACTCTCAATCACAGTCCTCGACAGAGCCATCACACAATGTGTTTGTAATTTGTTATGAAAACCTACAAGCCAGAAATTTCGAGGAAATTCGTCCAAACAGTGTATGAGAAATTTCAAAATTATAATTTATCCTAATCGTTTGGAAATATTCAACAGGTATGTACAACTTTATTTTTAATCGTAATTATCGTTTTAAGTATTAATTATAATTATGATATTAAATTTTTGGCAACAACTTTTTAATATATATATTTATATTATTGTTTGAATATTATACATAAGGTGATACACAATTTACCACCCTTACAGTAATAAATACAATGCATTATCATATATAAAGTCAATAAAATCGCGTCTGAGTATGAAAAAAAAAATAAGGGAATTTATTTTAATAAGAAAGATTATTTAAAATAAGTTCTTATTAAACATATATATGTAAAAAAATATAAATTCTTTGGTTATTATTACTTATTATTATCTAAAATGTGTTGATATAAGATATTATTTGTAAAATCGGTTTATACATTTATTATAGTATTAAATTATTTTTTCTTTATTTTATTTTGTATGTATAACTCTTCTAGAATTGGATTAATGTAAATATTATTTTGGGTATTTGATATTTTTTTTTTCAAAATTTATAATATGGTTATTTTATGTAACATGTTTATCAAAATTCGAATTAGGGGAAGCATTTTTAATTTTACTTAAGACAGGTGTTTTTAATATCTTATTTTAAAATTTCTTTGTGTTTTAACTATATAAAATGTATTACAATTAAATTTTTCAGTTTATATACACCAGAGATGGGCAACTGAATGCCGAGTATTTCTTTATCTGGTTCGTGTTACATTTTTAAATCACTTAATTATATTTTAGGGATTATTAGTATTTAATTTTTTCACATTGATCGTAAAATGTTAATATTATATTTTTATAAAGTATTGAACTCCAGTTAATTTCATTAAATATCAAAATATAATTTATATTCATATTGGCATAGCTAACTTTGGTATAGGTATTAAGTAATTATTTTATTGTATTGGTTGAGTAGTAAAATTAAATTAATTAAAATTAATACTAACTGCCAATTTGAATACTCTTATTCTAACTCTTGATTTCTTTACTATGGCCCGCTAGATTTTAAAGTTATAAAATATGGTCCTCAAATTACTTTGAGTTGCCCATCCCTAACATAAACCACAATTTTCAAGAGAAGATCGATTTTTCATGTAATTTTTAGTTCTAAATAATATTTTTTGAGAATTTGGGTAGTTAGAATCTTGTGGTATTATAACATTATTTTGTATAAGTTTCCTGTGAATAAAAAATTCAAATTTTTATCTTTTAAAGAAATTGTGATATCTTTAAGTTACTTTATTTTAATAAAATTTAAAATAAAAAATACATTTTTTACGATACCACCATATTATTTATTCACATAAATGATTAATATTCCATTTGTTAAAATGAACAATTTTATTGAATGATATACATTCATGTCACAATAATTCAAACTTCAATAAATCTGAAATAGAATTTAGGTATCTTTTTATGTTAAATAAGTCATACAATTTGATATTTTGGCAAATTAACTATTTTGTTCTGTTATTTAATTTTTAAATCATCATTATTCGGCTTTATATTAGCAAAAAATAGGAAAGCGCTTGTGAAAATCGATTTCTGGGTACAAATTTCCTTCTGTGAAGGTTACCAGATGTTAATAAAAACAATTGTACTCATAGTTTTCCCCTCGATACGGTTTTCTATTTCAATCCCAAGAAATAATTTAACCATGACATAATTAAATTAATTTAATTTATTTATTTCTTATACCTATAGTTATGATATATATTAAATTATTTTAATAATGACAATTAAAACGTTCAAACCGATATTATGAAGATTTCTATTGTATTTCTGTAATTGTTGAGCTTAATTGATTAAAACAAAAGTACTAATTAAAAAAAATAAATTAAAATAAAAACGAAATTTCATACTCAAAAATTGTTCTGAGCAGGTAATAACGTAATATTATACTATTTAATTATATTATTAACTTAAAATTATTCAAATGTATCACGCAATAAAGAAATTTTGTATTTCATTATTTTGGATTAAAATTTAAAATATTAAAAATGTATACTCTCTTATAATGTATGCATTGCATAAATATTAATAAATTAATTATTTTGAAATGTTTCAAGCACTTATATTATTTTATTTTTTTCGACATTTTTAAAATATGAATGTAACATAAAGTTAAAATTAAATTAGTAACAACAGTTGAACTTTTATAAAACCATAGATAGTGTGAAGCAAGGTATTTTCGTGGCATAAGAAATTTCGTGATATTGTTTGTCGAATGTATAAATAATGCCCTATTATAAGATTGACTTCAAAATTACATTAATCATTAAAATTATTTTTTATAGATCAATCTTTTTTCAAATCAATCGTTTAATAATTAATTAAATTATAGGTCCATGAAAAAAATACCTTAATTCAGTTCATAATAACTATTATAATTCAATTATATTGAAAATAATTCCCTAGAAGAATAGAATTAATAATAATTTTTCTAAAAAATGATCGTTTATAACATTTTTCATATTTCATTCGTTAAAATTAAGTTATATTCCCAAATACTTAGTAAGTACAGTTAATTTAAATTTGAAGGAAATAATATTTATGATATTTAAATAGCTGCGGCTCGTGCTATAGGGCACACGGGCACGTGCCCTACCAAAAATATTAAAAAATAAAAAAGTTTATTTATTATAAGGAAGATTTCTATACTAGATTAAACTTCTAGATTAAATGTCTAGTCTTTCTGGACTTGATGCATAGTCACTATCTGAGTGTATCAAATATAACTTAATAGAAGTAACAGGAAGCAACGAAAAATTAATCTCACAAAGTTATGACGGAGGTGATGTGATGAGTAGCCAAATTTCTGATATTCAAAAACTCATAAAAAATGAATACAAAAATTTACATTTCGTTCATTTTTATGCACATCAATTAAATTAAATTTTAAGTCAAGCTACAGCACAAATACGTGATGTACGAATTTTTTTACAATTTGACTGACGTATCTAATATTTTTTCAAATTCTCCACAAAGAGTTGCTGTTTTGGATAAAATTGTTAACCATAGAATCTCACATTCAACCAATACCAAATGGAACTTCAAAAATCATATTTTTAACATTGTTTACAAAAATTGAGAATTATTAATAAAATGTATGAAAGAGATTGAAAATACATTTAATCAAAATATTACAATTAATCAGGAGCATGGTATCCGTAGAATGTTAAATGATGAAAAAAGGTATATTTTGATTAAATATTTTTCATTGTTTAATGCCACACATGGATATGTTATATAATCATTGACTCTATCGAGGAAAAAAATGCGATTTCTCGATTTGAAAAAAATAAATAAAAACAAAGACAAAATTTAGATCATTATCAAAATTAATTACCAATTGAAATAACCCAGTGTCGAAAAAAAGAAAGGTTGCAAAAGAAGTATGTGATATTCTTATTTTTTGTGTTAAAGACAGGTACGAATATAAAACTCATTTAAATACGTCTCAATTTTTTGTATCAACTAATTTTACTTTGTATGAAATAATTTTCTGCAATAATATGTTAACGATACAATTGGAGCTTACCCTTTTTTTAATAAAAATAAGCTCAAAACTGAATTGGAAATTATTTATAAACAAACAGATTTTGACAATTTGGAACATATATTTTCAGAAACATTTAAAACTTTTACGTATTGTAACAATAATACTTATGACATAGACAGAAGATCAACGATATTTTTCGACATCGAAGAGGATAAAACATTTATACTAAATACTATGGCAGAAGAACGATTAAATTCATTAGCGATTTTATCAATTGAAAAAAAATGGGAAATCGAATAAAATATTTTAATGAAGAGGTCATCAAAATATTCATGAAGAGAAAATATAAACGAATTGATTTCGAATTTAAAAATATTACTGATAAGGGGGTTAGTTATCAGTAATAATTAAATACTATTATTTTGTTTATAAAATATAATTAATTTAATTAAAACCACAGTTTAATTGTTTTTAAATATTTAATATTTGCAGTAACATATACTAAGCATAGAGCCGCAAAGTGAATTAAAAATGTTTTGAAAAAAAAAAAACATAATACAAGTTTGAGTTTGAATTTGAGTTAAATTTAAAATAAACAGAAATTAAAGGGGGATGGTTGTGATTATATATATGGAGGAATATTTGTGCCCCACAAATTAATTACACGAGCTGCCACTTTAAATTTTTTTTATAATTTTATTTTTGAACATAATCTTTTATTTATTTGGGAAGATTTAGACTTAAGGTCACTCATCAAAATTGTTATACCAAAATAATTATATATTGCGAAATTATATTATATTAAATGTATAAATATCTAAAAAAATAAATGATATAAATCAAATGTTGAAGCTTCTTTAACAGAAAAACATTAATTTTGAAGAGCTATTGAGAATATTGAAATTTTTAACTACAGCATACGGTTATACCGATTCGTTTTTAGTTAGTTAATTTTGTAAGAAGTAACAAGTTTTAAGCAGAGTATATTATTTGCTTACCATTTCGTTTTAAATCTATTGGTTCGTTTTCATTGCCATCTTTTTCGTTTTCATTCCTTTTTGATAAAAATATAACTGTCTTTGTCAATTATTTAAAAAAAAAAAATACCTATGTCAATCGATTTAATCTCTTAGATTGAGCAGTGAAATAAATAATGCAAACAATGCAACAGCAATGGAATTATCGATTTACCGATTTTAACTAAATCGTAAACTGAATTAAAATATCTTATAGCACCAAACGTCAAAATCGACAAAAATAACGTAGGTACCAGCAAGAGTATTCTATAATGAAAATGTTGTGGAATCATTTGTACTTTTATTTTACTTTATCTTGGACGAATGGAAAAATTGATTCAATGTCGACAACTGTTGATGCAATGATATTGTGAGAAACCATTACAAAATTATCTTACTATGATAATTTTTAGTTTAATTGGAAAAAAACAACATCGCCGTTATACCTCAATATTGTACGAAAAAAAACTAACTACCAAAATAAATCGGCAGAAACATTA